CTCACTGCCCAACCATAGATCAGAATACAGTGACTGTGAGCACGCACACACACACATCACAGACTGTGTGACACCCACCTACCTCAGCTACCAGGATACAATAAATAAACAAAGATTCAGCATCTTTTTAATATTTATAACATTCAACCTCACTACATTTGTGAATGTGTTCCTCCATTATTTTAAATATTATGCCGCTGTGTGATGACTGCTGTTTTCTGGCAGGCCTGACATTACTGCTTTTATTTATTTGCTTCATTTTAACTACATCAGAAGAGCCCATGTGTAATGTCATTGTATCTAAATTAATGACAGTAAAGTAATTAATTCATTGATTTATTCATTCATTTTGAAGCTTGTTGCATTTCGTTTATCACTCTAGCGACAGCTCCACAGTCTGTGACAAACAGGCAGAAAGCTAAAATTGAGATAATTTGAGCACCGACAATAAAAGAAAAGCACAAACACTTAAACATGCTACACTTTTGAGGTTAAATACAGTCTGGTTTTGAGCTTAGAATACTTACACACACTACACAGGGCTGGATCTTCTTGGGGCCCTCTGCAGACAGCTCCAGGCCTCCTACAGGAGCCTGCTTAGCAGGCAGTAACGAAAAGGTGTTTAAGTTTGACATTTGAAGTGCGTCTTGAAGCGCTCATGCAGCCACACTTTCCCCCAGTACTCAAAAAGCTCACCGTGGCCCTCTGTGGCTCAGGAGGTAGAAACACATGAAGCTAGAGTCAAATATCACTCAAAAAATGCTTTTATTTGGCAAACAAAACACTAAACTACACACAAAACAAAACAAATATTTAAATATATTAAAACAACAACATGTTTAACTATAAACACACGAGCAAAGACATATTTAACTATATAAAGAAAAAACAAATATATTAAACTACCTGAAAGAACTAACAAATTATTTCACTCTTAACACAAAAATAGTAAAATATATGAACAAAAGCCAACAATATATTAGAATAAAAATGGAATAACCAACTTTTTTTAACTATATCAACAAAGAATAAACTATACAAAAGAACCCTAAACAACAAAAAAATAACAAAATATATGAACAAAAACCAACAATATATTTAACTATTCAGAGAAGAACAAAGAAATTATTTCACCCTAACGACAAGAACAAAAAATAACCAAAAAAATAACCAAAAAACTATATACTATATGTTAAAAGTAATAAAGTAATAAAACACAAGAACAAAGAAATATTTAACTACATAAACAAAAAACAAACTACACAAAAAACAAAAAAAATTAGTAAAATATAAACAGAATAACCAAACAAATAAAACTATATGCAAGAAACAGCATTAAACTCTATTGTTGTTCTCTTCCTTCTCCTCTTCTTCCTCCTCCTCCTTCTTTACCTTCTCCTCCCCTACTCTTTCTTCTTCTCCTCCTTTACCTTCTCCCCCTCCTTCTCTTTCTTCTTTCACTCGTCCTCCTCTTTCTTCTTCTTCCTCTCCTCCTCTTTCTTCTTCTCCTCCTCCTCCTCGTCTTTCTTCCTCTTCTTTCTTTCTCTTCTCCTCCTCCTTCCTCCTCTTCTCCCGGTACTCCTCCCTCCTTTTCTTCAGCCTCCTCTCCCTGACCTCAGGCTTCTGGTGGTATCGGCGCCATCTTTTCTTCAGGTTAGCCTTTACAAACTCCTCTGTGGAGACCCCGCCTCTGATCTCCGTCAGCCACTCCTCCACCGTCCTACAGAGGGGGTCTGTAGCCTGGCAGAAGGACTGGCGTGTGGCCCGGTGGACGCTGTGTCCAGACTCACGTGTCATCCTCAGGTTACACTGCTTGCAGATGTGGTGCTCCTTCTTAGGTTGGACTTGCCCGGCTTCAGCCTGCTTCTGCTTCACCTTCCACCTCCAGCGGGTGGTCTTGGGTACGTTGTCCTTCATCCACTCCTCCAGGGAGACCCCGCCGGATGTGGACGGGCAGAAGGTCTTGGATTTGTGGACAAAGTGCCCGGGGATGGTGGTGGCTTTGCCACAAGCAGGGCACATTATGGGAGCTTTGCGGCTCTTGGAGGTCCCTGGCTGTGGCTGCTGTGTGGCAGGAGCAGGAGTCACTGGGGTGGGGGGAGTCTTGGAGGTCGAGGGGGTCTCCTTCTGTCCAGACCGTCTGGATGAATCTATACAGAGAAAAAACACAGGTTTATTAAAGTGCAAAATGACAAGTGTCTCTATACAAGATTGTTTTTAGCTCAGTCACAACTTTTAGGGAGTTGTTTTGTTTGAGCAGAGTAATAAAGTGCCACAGTGGATTTTAAGCCCCTTTTGGTATGGTACGTTTGGAACCAGCAGTAACCCTTCAGACATGGTACCTAGACCCTCGGTGTGTTCAGACAGTCCTCTTAAATGTGGGCGGGGTTGTTGTCACTCACTGCTTCGTCCAGCACTCGCTGTATTTCCTCATCAGCTGTGACACAGATGGAAGTCTGCACCTGGTTCATCGTCCACAGAACGAGGCTGCACGCCCACATTTTCAGAACAAAATAGAACAGGCTGCAGTGAGAGTCTCTCTCCATGGGATATTTAAAAATAGCAGCTTTGAGCATTTAGTCCTTCTCAGGCAAGCTCAGGGGTTTAGTGTTGCTGTAGCCCACAGGAAGGACGCTCTAATTAGTACCAACCTTCTTTTTTCCCCATTGTTTTAAGATTTTAGTCATTTAGTTTATCTCAACCCTATTTTTTTTTATTTAAGTGAGTTACCCTTTTAACTTGAGTTTGAGATATTTAGCATTTAAGTTTGGAAAACTTTTTTCAATTCAATTTCAATTTAGGCTTCTGTTGTTGTTTTGTACATATACTATGTGAACTGGATAGATGACATGTAAACTGAGTATTTTTGACAATAAAAGACAAAAAAAACACCTGTTCTTCTTCTTCTTTTCTCAAGAGGAGGCCAGAAAGGTTTCATGAAGCGGAACTCAGGTGGAGGGATGTACGACTTTTTGTCAGCTCTCCACTCACGCACCTCTTCTTTGTAAGAGGCCCACCGGTCTCTCTGGGCCTTTGTGTCTTCAGCCATCTCTACATGAGGACAAAACAGAAATAAAGTAAACTGAGCTGCACATTCAGTAACATCAACAAGTTATAAAAGGAGAAGAGCCTTACCACACAGTGTAGAGAAACTATAGAACAAGACAGAGGTGCTGTGACCTGTGACTCCAGCAGCATCAGACAGCAGTTGTGACAGCTGATGTTCCTACAGCATCTCTTCACCTCTGATCCTTACGTGTCAACAAATCAGATCTGAGCCCTGCTGATCAACCAATCAGACGTGAGCTCTGTCGATCGCCCAGCCATCTCCTGGAGCCCCTCAGTGTGGGAGCTCCTCAGCAGCCAGTGGGCGGACAGAAGTTGAAATTCAAAGGTTGACACTTGGAAACAGACACTGTGTTGCTCTCTACATATATTTAAGTATACACATATTTTTATCATAGTTCTGTGTCTTTAAACTTTGACAGCAACTTTTAAGTGAAGTCAGACTATCTGTGTTCACACACCTGACCAATACAGGTGACATCATTACATCACTGTGATCAGCAGAGATGAAAGACAGGAAAAAGGTGTGCTGAAAATACCTCTGAATTTATTAAACAGAGCAACAGAACCAGAGGCTGATATCAGATACACACAGTGTTACTGAGCTCCATGTTTTATTTTTTAATCAAATTTCAATAACAAATATAAGCATCATAAATAACATACAAGTTAAATATAAAATAATACCAATGCAAAACCAAAAGAGGCAACAAACAAAAAAGTGCAAGGCAGTAAAACTTTTTTAACAGTAAATTATTCAAAGAGAAATGTCTTTAATCGTGTTATATGTCCAGTATGTGCTGAGGTTTGTCCATAGTTCTGAATGATTTACAGTGCAGATCGGATTAAACACTGAGTGCTGTGTCAGTGCAAACATATTTTAACATTTAAAGACATGACAGCATTTAGTGTTTCACAGAGTGGAGTCAGTCAGTGACACACACACACTTAAAGACTTCAGAGAGAGAGTTCAGAGTGGCAGTGTAAGGTGTTGAACAAACAGGCTCTAAGTGTGAAAGTCACAGAAAGTTCAGCTCTGACCTTCACACATGCAAATCACCCTGAGTACAAACAACTCTACTGCACAACATTAACTTTAGCTTCAAAACACAGGTGGAAAAATCTGTAAGCAGCAGCAGTAGCAGCCCCAGATGGGCCGGCAGTGGGCTCCTGTTCCTTTCCCTGCAGCCGCAACATGTTGTCATCAGTGGAGGGGCTCATGGCAGGCTGGGTCTCCCCTGCCCAAAGAGGGTCCTGCAGGGAGAGGAGGGCAGAGGCAAGGGTGCTCCTCTCTTGGGCAGCCGTCCACCTTTTGTGCCTGCAGAGTGAACACAGAGCTGTTAGTGCTGAATGGTGACAATAAATATTTGATGTTGGTGCGTCAGGAGCAGCTGCTGAAGACAAATGAGATGATCATCTGTGAGACAAGTTTTTAAATAAAGAGTCTGACCTCTGAGAGAGGGTGGCCTGGTTCACGGCAAACAGCTGGAAGGTGGTGCTGTTTCTGAGGGCAACGTGCGTGGTGACGACGTACCTGATGGTTTCCCTCAGAAACAGTGTCCCCATCATCCTCTTGCTGCTGGAATGGAGGACAGTCAGCCGGATAAAGATGGCCTCCACCAGCCGGCTGGTGTTGGGTCTGCTGCCTGTTCCTGCAGGCTGTAACCAGACACAGGAGAGTGACAAGTGGACTGAAATTACACTGTGGCTGCGAGACAGTGAACACACCAGAACTGTGTAAACACGTACTGTTTCATGCTCTCCAGTCCTGACAGGCCACTGTGTTAGGAGCGTAGGTCTTGGACAGCTGGGCCCTGTAGCATGATGGATATAAGGGGTTGGAATTGGGGGGTTAGATCACCACATGATTCCCGAGCGCGGCACCAATGCTGCTCACCGCTCCCTCAGGGGATGGGTCAAATGCGGAGAACAAATTTCACACACTCAGGTGTGTGACAATCAGTGGGACTTTAATCTTTAATACACCACAGGGCCCTTGTCCGCATCAGGCAGTCCTGTTCTGGGGGTCAGTGGTCTGACAGAATGTCTGTTTTGAAGGGCGGTGGAAACTGTGACCTGTCTGCTGTGACCACCTCTGACCACATGACTTACAGGTCCTAGTCTTTTGATGGTGTTTGACCAGGACCTGCCCAGGTGGTGTGACCCTCACCCCTCCACCTGGTGATCTTTGGAGTGTGCTTTGGCATCCACTGGTCCAGGGTTGGCCCAGACGTGGTGTGGGAGTACGTCTTTCTGAGGTACACAAAGTGCTCAATGATGCTGATGTCTTTGTTGCACCGTGGACAGACACGTGGTGGGATGTTGTCCCATGGTGAAGCTACACAAAGTAAAACACACACAGAGGTTTATTAAAGTGTAAACTCACAACAACAGCAAATGGAACATATACAGAGGATATTATCTCCATATTTATGCTCTGATTTGTGTGTGGTTGTTTACCACAGTCTGCGACACCAGGGATCAGCACGCCTGCCTCCTGCCCAACACACAATGCACCGAGCCCTGAATCCTGCCACTGCAGGTAGTGGGCCCACAGGGTGTTGGCTCCATGTTATCTATTTGGGCTGAGCCCAACCAGGCCCCATGGCCCAAGGCCCGATTACCAGACACTCGCTGGCGAGCTCCCCCTTCTTCTCGATCGGTGCCTTTTAAATCAGAAAAAGAATATAGAAAACTGAGTTCTTCTTCTGTGGTGTCTGTCAGCATCTGAGGGAACTGAAACACTTATTTATAGAATGTCTACATTTTGCTTTTAACAAAACTGGCTTTTTATCTTCTTACTTTGTTTGTGTTATGTACCAGAATACCAATGCACATCCCTTGTAGGGGAGAGCACAACCTGATGCGTGGTAAAGTGTAACACAGACTTTTTCAGTGGTTACACAGGGTCAATCCTTTCATGCTTTTGGCAAGTTGACCACAATACCACACTACTGTGACCCGCAAAATTCCAGAGATTGGACATGTTTTAGCAGAGGTTAGTGCCAAAGAATGTTTTCAGCCAATTTTTGTTTTTCTCATCACTGAGCTGTCTATTTAAGCCACCAAATCTAACCACAAATCATCTTAATATCTGTCTTCTTGCCTAAAACATAGCACTGTTTTGATTGATGTAATCAACTCCCAGCAAGTGATACAGCCAACCCTCTGCCTGTTACAATTAACCCCATAACCCTGTATATTGTGACATTTCACTTTTGCCACTTCTCTGTGCAATGATAGAAGAAAGGTAAGTTCTAAAAAAAAAAATCTGTTCATTTGTGGCAGAGATTCGCATGTTGTTAGAATAACACAAAACAAAAAAATAATCTCAAACAGTTTTAATAGCATTTAGACAAAACTGAAATGTGTTAGGTTGTGCCCTGCTCTTCCCTATTTGAAAACCTACATGGCACTAAAACAGATTCTGATTGTTTTGTTGGCCTCAATACTAAACAGAAATACAGCAGATGACAAAAACAAAAAGGTTAACAAGGGTAAATATAAAGACCACAGTCTCTTAGAGGTTGTAGTTTATCTAAACACATAAATCCACTGCCTGCAACATGATTAGGTTAGAAAAACATAAGGCAGAATTTTAAACATATAAAAAGAAGGAAAGAGTCATTTATTAAAAGGCAGAGTGAAATTATTATTTAAGTATTGGTGTCAGTATAACAGGAAACGAGCAAGACTCCCACAATCTTACCTCTGCTATGTTTATTGACCGTAAAGCCAGTAATCTACAGCTAAGAAAAATATTATATAAGCTTTTATTTATTTATTCATTCATTTTTTTCTGTTTAAAAACGATCAGTGAATTTCTTCCTGTGTAAATCTTCCACCAGTGTCACTGAACTGTGCTGTACTAACATTAGACTGACATTGACAGCGTTAGCAACGGTAACTAAGGGGCGGGACTAAGAACAGTCCGTTACCTCGCTCCTGCCTCTCTGATTGGCTTATTTCACCAATAGACGTTTGTTCAGCCGCAGAATTAAACAGGTAAGATCTGAACTAACTCAGTTAATTACCAGATTAATTTAATATTTAAGAAGAAATCACACAGTGAAATTATTTCGCTAGCTTTAGCTTTTGTCTCAGTATTTCTTACTGTGCGATGGTCCGCTGTTGTAACTTCTGGCCGACATTTTGAGACTGCTCCGCTCCTCAGTCTTTTTAACTTTAACGGTCCGCGGCAGCGACTGACCACATTTTATGACTCCAGAAAGAAATTAAACTTATTAAACATCACGAAAAACCTTCTGTAACAACCTTACCTGTTGGGGAACACGGAAAACGTATCGTTTCAACTTTTTCCACGGGAGCTCATGAACAAATCACGGAGCACTGAGGTCGGAGACGGCGCCAAGATGGCGACCTTCCGGTCACCGTAATTGAGATGCAGCTGTCATCAGAGTTTTCACAAAATGGCGATTTGATAGTTTTAGCGAGATATTTTAACTTGCAGTTACTCCAGTGATATTTTAAAGACGTAGTTGGTAAAAATAAAAACATTTTTTGGAATAGTTGTTGTTGTACCTTACAGTTTCTTAAGATTTTATAACATTACTGTGATTTTACTGAGAGTGTAATGTTAAGGTTACTTTATTAGCCCTATTTTGACTGAAGCACTACAAAATGTAATCTTATTAATAATCATCTATTAATGATTTTTTTAAGAGACACAACACAGAATGACAGAAAATAAGAAAAATGTCATGATATGAAGTGAAAA